CGACATTTTCTTGGCTGTGTGAAGCGTGCCTGGGATTCCGCCGAAGCGGCGCCAGAGCCCCAGCCTCCGCCTATTGTGAGTTCAGAAGACCGTGGGCCGTGGCCTCTTCCTTTGTATCCGGTACTGGGAGAGTGCTCACTGGACAGCTGTGATTCGGAACTGCTTTCCAGTCCTTGCTGGCGGCTACGCTGGATCTACCCGCAAAACGGACTCTTTCCCGGAGTCCAGAGCATCTTGGAACCAAGTACCGACCAGCCCGCTGAGTTCAGTTGGCCCGGGACACAGAAGCAGCAAGAGGCACCCGTAGAAGAGGTGGACCAGGCAGAGCAATCCGAGAGAGTCACACTCGGGCAACTTCCCTTGAGCAGTCCTCCCCAGCCCTGGGACAGACTGGAGGACACCCAGGCCTGTGACAGCGGGCGCCTTTTGAAATGCCACCGTTCTCCAGCCTTCCATTGGTGGCGCCACCTCCCGGGTTTCTCAGACTGCCTGGAGTGGATTTGTCGCGTTGGTTGTAATTCGTTCTCTGTACCCTGGGCGTGTTGCCCACGGATCTGTGGAGCTAAGCAGCCTTAGACGGCAGCAGAAGACTTTTTGGATTCTCGTTGAGAAGATTCTCGGTTACCAAACGTCTCCACACAGAAAATAAAAATACATTAAGATGTGTCTTCATGGCTGGTTGTCAATTTTTAAATTCTCTTTTACTGATTAATCTTCCTTGTGTCAGGTTGCTTATTACTTGCAGTTTCCTTATATTTTAAACATTTATATTTATTTTATTACATATTTTATTTTTATGTTTCAACTTTGAGAAATTTTATGATTGTAGAATTCTTAGGGTTTTGGCAAATTTAAAATTTATATTTTTCATTTTAAAGTTTTATTCATACAATTTTTCTAGTTATTGCTTCCTAGATGTATTGTCTTTGTTTTCATTTAATTTTATTTCACAAATTTTAGGTTATTATGTTTTTAAAATTTTAATTGTTAATTTTTTTTTGTTTTAACAGCTCTTTTGTGTGTGTGTGTGTGTGTGTGTGTGTGTGTGTGTGTGTGTGTGTGTTTTAGTATAGCAATTCATTGTGTTTTACACTCAGGAATTTTATTGGTGGCCATAAGACTGAAGGGTTTATCAATCTTTGCTGTTTCTTATGGAAGGACCATGCAACCATTTATGTAACTGCACAGATGATCAATTCTTAATATTACTTATTCAGACAGGGCAGCGTGGCTCATGCCTGTAATCCCGGAACTTTCAACAGTGGAGGCATGGATTGCTTCTGCTCGGGAGTTTGGGACAAGGCTGGGCAACAGGGTGAGACCTGTCTCTACAAAAAATACAAAAATTACCCAGGTGTGGTGGTGCATACCTGTAGTCTCAGCTACTTGGGAGGCTGAGGTGGGGGACTGCTTGAGGTCAGGAGGTCGAGGCTACAGAGAACTGGATAGCACCAATGCACTCCAACACAGTGAGACCCTGTGTCAAAATAAACAAATAATTTAAAAGATTACTTATTCATGAAGCTCAGGGCTAGCAGTGTTTCCTGTGTCTTTTTCTTTGGAATAAATAATTTAGTGTGGTTTATAAGAGAACTACCAATTACTTAATCGTACCACACTTGGATTAGCAATTCCAGTTGGTAGAGCAGGTGTGGGTTGGCCCTGCCTGCTTTGTCTCTCTTTTCGGGAGTGTTTAACCTTCTACACTCAGAAGATAGCCCTGATTGTGGTTTCTCTGTACAGGAAGTCTGGATTTAAGCAGAACAAGTATCCGTTTATATCGCCTGCGATACAGAGGCTTAATCCTGCATCAAAATATCTTCTTCTGAGCAAGTCCTGGGTTAGGGAATTCTTAGACTAACAAGTGCATGCTTTGATTCTAGGTGACCCGGTGAATACGATTTCTTAGGCTCTTGTAAGTCCAGATTGAGTGGAAACCAGTACTAGCGCAGCCATGCCTGCGACTTCTTAGTCCCAGTAACTTTCGGTTTCATAATAACTTATCCTGCTTTAGTTATGCCTGAGTTTTAAATATAGAAATCTGGGCATGTCGGAAAAGAAGATCTTCTAGGAGTAGCAAGTAGAGGTTTAGCAGTGCCTGCAGTCCCTTTAGAAGTCCCGGTGAGACCAAGCAGATATTGATATAGGCATGACAGCGATCTCACAGCTCTGAAACGACACTGTTTAGAAGTGTTTGTGTTTTCTTCTTTGTAGAGTCAGTTTTCTATGTTTTGCTTAGTTTTGAATTTTCATTTGATGAATTTTT